AGGCGACCGCGCCCCGCAGCCACGTCGCAAGGACCTGGGCAAATGCTCTCACTCTTGATTCCAAAGCAACTGCAGTGGCCCCTGGCCAAGTTGGGTCGTCGGTTCGGGTCCTGGAGCTGGCCTTGGGCGCGGACGGACGGACGGCGCGCCAGCTAGGCGACCTCCGGGTGCAGCGGCGGCCCGGCCTCTGCGCGCCCGGAGCTCCGTACCTGGCGCGGCTGGAAGCCCCGAGCCGCGGGCCTGGCGACCACTGTGACGACGTCGCGGGGGCCATGAGGCCATAAAGGGCCGCCTGTGACGCGGGGGTCTCCCAGGGCCTCGCCTCCAAAGTCCGTCCCCCCCTCCCCCCATGTCATCTGGGAGAAAGCTCGAGGCAAGCAGAGGACCTGAAGGGTCCAATGTGCCAAAGTCAGCAAATGGCCACGACACCCGCGCAAAATGGTCGAGAACCCCTGCCAGGGCCCGCGTCCGGGGAGGCGTCTTCTCGCTTTAGGATTCGAGCCGCTCTTTCTTAAGTGTATCCCCCCACCCCTGCGCTTGAAGGTCGCTCCCCGACCTTCCTGAGGGGCAATCCGAGCCTTTGCCTTCGCCAGTGCGTTCAGAATCGCTGTCATCCAGGGCCCCCGCGCACTTGAACTCGCGGTGGTGTTGCCAAGGGCTGCTATCAGCTAACGACCACTGCCCGGGGCGGCGCCAGCACCTTTCCCAGGTGCGCGGAAGAGCCCGCGGCGCGCAGCAGAATCACCTGCGGAGCCGCGCAGCAAACCAGATGCCCGCTGCCTGACCCCGGCAGGTTCCGAGTCCGACCAGCTGGGTGGGCCCCAAATCTAACAAGTTCCCGAGAGATAGGGGCGCCGCTGGACCCGCGAGCACACTTAGAGCCCTGGCTTCAGGGGGTCTTCCGCCTTCTCTTCCCGCTCCCGCTGCCAGGGAGGGTCCTTCCAGCTTCCTGGTGGCCCAGGAACCCCAGATTCCTGAACCCCACTCCTCCAGCAGAATCTCTAAGAATCTCAATTTGGGGGGTTTTGGTGTGTGGTTTGGAGAGTTGTTTTTTGTTGTTGTTGTTTTGTTTAAGCTTTTTACTGTGAACTGGGTGAAGGTTTACAGAGCGGATCATCACTTTACAGTCATCAATTCGTACACATTTTGTTTCAGTCACATGCCCCTTAGGCTGCACTGTAACCTCTCCTTTCTCCGCCCGCTGCTTCCTGTTTTCCTTCCTTTTTGTTTCCTGACCCCTCTGGCCTCTGGCCTTGGGTAAAGGCTGCATTTTGTTCGTAAATGGCTGATTGTTTTAAGGTGTGTGTAGCTCCCAGGTGCTCTGGAGCAGACCTATCAGACGGGAGAATGGCCGTCCCCAGGAGGCTTCCAAGACTGTAAACCTTTCTAAACAAAACTCATGCTATTAAAAACAACAAAAACATTTTACTGGGGGCTCTAACAGTTTTATAACATTCCATACGTCAATTGTATCAAGCGTATTTGTGTATATGTTGTCATCATTTCCAAAACATTTTCTACTTGAGCCCTTGGTGTAAGCTGCTCTTTTTCCCCCTCCCTTACCCACCCCCCACCTCATGAATCCTTGATCAATTTTATATGGTTGTGATGATTTCCCGTCTTACACTGTCCGTTGTCTCCTTGAGGCTTCCTCACACCAATATCATGATCCCAGAGAAAACCCATGCTGGTGAGTCAGTGGTCCTCATAGTGACCCCATGGGCAGGGCGAACTGCCCCTTGGCTTTCTGAGACTTTACATCTTCAAGGGAGGAGACAGTCTCATCTTTGTCCCTAGGAGCGGCGGCTAGGTTTGGACTGCAGACCTTGCAGTCGGCAGGTCGGCAGCTCAACGCAGAGCTACTAGGCTGAGACTGACTCCTTTGTGAAAAAATAATTTTACTGAGAGGGCTTATATCATCACATTGAATATTTCAATCACATGAAGCAGGGGTGTACAATTGCTACCACAATCAGGTTCAATATATTTTCTTCTTGAACTACTTGCTATCAGCTCCTTTATCCCCTCCCTCCCCCACGCTACCCCTTAGGAACCCTCCTCCCATGATAGTTGTTTTGGGTTTGGTTTGGTTTGGTTTTTTACCACTTTGTACACAGTTCAATGTATCCATGCACATACAATGCTGTTGTTCCATCCCATCAAGTGGGGTTAAGCAGTCACCAATACCATCTGCTCCCTGCTCTCCACTTTCTTCCCTCTCTATACTCTCAGGGAACCACTACCCCTGTTACTTTTTTTTTTTAATCATTGTTCTTACAGCTCATAACAATTCATACTCAAGTGTATCAAGCACATTTGTATACTGTATATGTTGCCACCATCATGTTCTATACATTTTCTTTCTGTTAGAGCCCGTGGTATTAGCTCATCTTTTTTCCCTACTTCCCCCACCCCCCACCCTTGTGAATTCTTAATAAATTATAAATTATTTTCATATCTTACACTGACCCCTGTCTCCCTTCACTCACATTTCTGTTGTTCCTCCCTGGGTTGGTGGGGTGCTGGTGGTGGTGATTAATACATCTCTCATTGTGATCAGCTCCCCCTTCTCCCCCCACCTTCTTCCTACCCTCTTGGTATCAATACTCCAATTTCTGTTCTAGAGGGGTTTATCTGTCCTGAATTCTGTGTGTTGAGAGCTCTTGTCTGTACCAGTATACATGCTCCTGTCTAGCCGGATTTGTAAGGTAGAGCTGGGGTCATGACATTGGCGTGAGCAAGCCTTAAGGAACCTGAGGAATATTGTGTGTTTAGACTGCACCCTGGCTGATTCATACCTTCCTTGTGACCCTTCTGTGAGAGGATGTCCAGTTGTCTACAGACAGGTTTTGGGTCTCCACTCCACCCTCCCTCCCCAACCATTCTCAACAATATGATGATTTGTTTGGGGTCTTCTGATGCGTTACCTGATCCCGTTGACACCACATGATTACACAGGCTGGTGTGCTTCTTCCATGTGAGCTTCTCTGCTACATGGCCACTTGTTTTACTTCCAGGCTTTAAGACCCCAGATGCTACATCTTTTAATAGCTGGGCACCATCAGCTTTCTTCACATTTGCTTATGCACCCATTTTGTTATCAATGATTGTGTTGGGAGGGTGAGCATCACAGAATGCCAGGATAATGGAACAAAGTGTTCTTGCGTTGAGGGAGGGCAGGAGTAGAGGCCCAAAATCCACCCACTTCCTCAATATATGATAAATAGATGTACATAGGCCAACACCTCTATTTTCATGAATTAATATATTTACATATGCACATAACTATGTTTCTAACACTATCAATAGTTTTGCTTCCTAGATCTTTCCTGTTTCCTTTTCCTTTCTCCTGCCCCACTATCAAGCTCCCCCTTCATTTGCCTCTTGGTAATTCCTGTCCAACACCACCGAGGTCCCCACACCTCCCCGCCCTCCCCCCCCCCCTTTGATTTTAATTCCCTAGTTGTTCCCTCATCCATGGCATTATTTACTCATCTACCCCTTCCCTCCCACCTACCCCCCCACCCCTCCACCCCCCACCAAGTCTCCATATCATTGTGAATGAGGTGGGTGGGAGTGCGGAGTGGAGACCCAAAACCCATTTGTAGGCCACAGGACATTCCCTTACAGAAGGGTCGTGGGGAGGAGGCCAGCCAGTCAGTGTGTGGTGTAGCAACGATGAAACATACAACTTTCCTCTAGTTCCTAAATGCTTCCTCCCCCCACTATCATGATCCCAATTTTACCTTACAAATCTGGCTAGACCAGAGATGTACACTGGTACAGATAGGAACTGGAAATCCAGGGAATCCAGGGCGGATGTTCCCTTCAGGACCAGTGGTGTGAGTGGCGATACTGGGAGGGTTGAGGGAGGGTGGGTTGGAAAGGGGGAACCGATTATAAGGATCTACATACATATAACCTCCTCCCTGGGGGACGGACAACAGCTGGAGACACAGTGTCCCCTCCGCAACAGAGGACAATACTGGGGACACATGGCAGGGAGTAAGTCTGGTCTGACAGCCCCATCCCCCACAGCAAGGTGAACCAAGAAGGGAGCACAACAGATCAGCCACGAAGCCCCTGAGGAGGCCCCCAAACAGACTTCAGGCTATGAGAGGCAGACCCTGGAGCTCCCTAGAACCGGTGGAGAGATCGTCATAAAGGTCAGGGGAAAAAAAAAAAAAGGTCAGGGGACAGGTCTGGAATTATGTATGGATTTTTTCTCTCTCTTTTTTAAAATTTCTCCCCTTCAATCATTGTTTTCTTTTTGTTCTTGCTGTTTGGTCTGCCTGTATAAGATAGGCATGAGACGCATGCCTGAGGAGAGGCACCAGGAAATTGTTGGTAAATTCTTGAGTCTGAGATTACAGGAAAAGCTTGTGGGATGGAAACTTGCTTGCTTGAAAGTGGGAAAAGCACTCACTGGGAGTCTGGATGTCTCCCAGGAGGGATTTGCTATCATTCAGCTGCGGCGGGAGAGGAAGATATGGCAGCTGATTTGCAGAAAGACTGCAGCCTTGGGAACCCCGTGGGACAGTCGCGCTTTGTCCCACAGGGCCACTGGGTGGAAATCGACTTGCGGCAAGGGGGCTGGGGTTTATCATCAGACCAGGGGACCTGGGGACGCTAGATCCAGGGGGCGGGAGAGGAAGGCGGTCCCGACGTCACGGGTTGGCGGCAGCCGGGGAAAGGCACGCCTCCCGCTCCTGAGGGGAGCTTCCGTGTCGTTGCGCCCGGGGCCGGCGACACAGCCACACCCGCACCCCGTGCAGCCGCCACGCGCGTTTCCCCAGAAGAAAACCAACCCAGACGCGCGCCCGGCCCGGCCCCTCCTCGGGCGCGCGCCTCCAACCCACGGGCTTCCCCGAAGGCGCCGGCAACCTGCGCTCGTGACGCCGCGCCGCCGAGCGCCGAGTTCTCGCGAGATCGCCACCGGAAGTGGGTGGCGGCGGGGACGTAGCGACCCGCCCCTCCGGAAGGGGAGCCTTTTTCTCTGCCGTTGCCGCCAGTGGCGCCGGGTCCCGGTCCGAGTCGCTTGCCAGGGAGGAAAAGCCCACCGGGCCGGGGCCTTCGGCGCTGAGCTCGCGCGTCCGGCGTCCCCGAGCGCACCCAGCCCGCCGCCCGGCTCCCTCGCTCGCTCCGCGCCGCCCCTCGGCCGTGCCCTGAGGCCCAGTCCGCGGCCGCCCGGCGGGGGATGCCCAACTCAGCCATGAAGAAAAAGGTTCTGCTGATGGGCAAGAGCGGCTCGGGGAAGACCAGCATGCGCTCGATCATCTTTGCCAACTACATTGCGCGCGACACCCGGCGCCTGGGCGCCACCATTGACGTGGAGCACTCGCACGTCCGCTTCCTGGGGAACCTGGTGCTGAACCTGTGGGACTGTGGCGGCCAGGACACCTTCATGGAGAACTACTTCACGAGCCAGCGGGACAACATCTTCCGCAACGTCGAGGTCCTGATTTACGTCTTCGACGTGGAGAGCCGCGAGTTGGAGAAGGACATGCATTACTACCAGTCGTGCCTGGAGGCCATCCTCCAGAACTCCCCCGACGCCAAGATCTTCTGCCTGGTGCACAAAATGGATCTGGTGCAGGAGGACCAGCGCGACCTGATCTTTAAGGAGCGGGAGGAAGACCTGCGGCGCCTGTCGCGCCCGCTGGAGTGCGCGTGCTTCCGCACCTCCATCTGGGACGAGACGCTCTACAAAGCCTGGTCCAGCATCGTCTACCAGCTCATCCCCAACGTGCAGCAGCTGGAGATGAACCTGCGGCATTTCGCCCAGATCATCGAGGCCGATGAGGTGCTGCTGTTCGAGAGGGCGACCTTCCTGGTCATCTCGCACTACCAGTGCAAGGAGCAGCGGGACGTGCACCGCTTCGAGAAGATCAGCAACATCATTAAGCAGTTCAAGCTGAGCTGCAGCAAATTGGCCGCCTCGTTCCAGAGCATGGAAGTCCGGAATTCCAACTTCGCCGCCTTCATCGACATCTTCACGTCCAACACGTACGTGATGGTGGTCATGTCCGACCCTTCCATCCCGTCGGCTGCGACCCTCATCAACATCCGCAACGCCCGCAAACACTTCGAGAAGCTGGAGAGAGTGGACGGTGCCAAGCACGGGCTGCTCATGCGCTGAACGTGGCCACACGCTGTGGTGGGAGAGACCGAATTGCCCTTTTGTCATATTTCCTTAATTTCTCTCTCTCTGCACCCGCCCATTTTAGTATTCATGTTGCGGACTGCCAAGTGGGCTTTTGAAATGTGTGCCGTTAACCGGCCGCCATCTCTTTCCACCCGGCAGCCCAATCTCGAACCATGGGACGCTGGGTCCTCGGCGCTGCACTAGTGCTTCACGTTGGCCTTTCTGACAAGTTACTGTGTTGTTCCCACGAAAATGGGCGGTGGCGATGATGTATGTTTGTTCTGATGACATGGTTAATAGAGAAGGGCATCCAAGCCTTTACCCATCTTTCTGTATCCTTAGTGGGTTGCCAAGATAAAATGTTACTATTTTATCAGCAAGGAATTAAGTCTTCTTGACTTCAATCATAAATAAACATTTGCTCTTAGCAATTTAAAAGATGGTGTTACTTGACCTAATTCGACGGTGGTTCGTGTGGGAATCGATAACGACTGTCTTTACTGGCAGATTTGATCATACCGTGTATCCCCCATGTTTTTGCGGATGTTTCAATGGCAGCTACACCAGAGGGGTTCAGAGTATGGACACAAGCCTGAATTGAGGTCAAATGATGGTCCAGTCACTCGTTCCGTGAGCTTGGGCAGGATAATTTCACTATGATTGCGTCCTCATTTGTAAAAGGTGGCTCAGACTAGCACCAAGCTTGTTGAAAGGATTAAAGTGGCAAGTATTTAGACTAGTGCCCGGCACCTACTTGGCCTTTCTCCCCAAAATTACTGAGTGTGAAACCTAGCTATATTAACCTTGAGTTGAATGCCAGGTGTCCCCAATATTTGCTGTGCTTCTAATTGTCTTCACAGCCGATGAGCTAGGTTACCGCATCTCCTCCACTTTCTAAACGAGAAAACTGGCAGATGGTTCATTGCCAGTAAGGTCATACAGATGAACACAGCAACCTGGAGAGATCCTCCGTTCATGACACCCCCATTCGGCCCGACACTGACAAGTCCATCGTCCCATTGCGACGTGGATTGTTCCTTCATAGAATTCTAATTTCACAGATGGGAAGCTGACGCCCAGAGGCGTGACGTGAATTCTCACAGGAACCAATGTTTAATTCATTTTGAGGGGAAAATTTTTTTTTCACTTTGGTCAATATCACTGTCCCATTTGTATTGATCTGGATAATTTTTAATCAGAGTCTTAGAATGTGTATTTTTAAGGGTGGATTCTAACATTCCCAATTTAGATGGGCAATGTGGTAAAGTCAAAAAGCAGACTTACAATGTCCACTTCTGGTTCTACAACAGATACACAGTTCTCAATGGAACCTGAATTTCATGTGGGACTCGCCCTGGTGGCATACTGGTTAAGTGCTCACTTGCTAACCAGCCATTCTGCGGGAGATTCATGTGACACTGCCATCTATAAAGATGGCAGTGTTGGTAACCCACGGTGGCAGTTCCACTCCGTCATACAGGATTGCCATGCATTGGCATCGACTCAACAGCAGTGGCTTGAAAAGTGCCTTTAAAACCGCTATGAGCTGGACTCTGACAATGGGGATCCTTTTTTTGGTGTAATTTCATTAAAAGGGGTCACCTGATCACAGGCTAGGCTGGTCTCTCATTTTATAGATGAGGCAATAAAGTTAAACTTTCTAGCTATGGCTGACTAGTACCCTTACTAATTTACAGTGGTAAGCTATTCAGACATGAATTACAAAACATCTAATTAAGGCACTGGCAATAAGGATGATCTGAATCATTGAATCTCTTGTTATTACATAAATTCTAAGTTGACATTACATAAGAAATTCCACAGCCAGGTGGTGTATTGAATATTCAAGACATGAATAATGTATTGTCCCAAAGGGCACTCCGATATTTTAAACTTACATGTAGACTTGGCTTCCACGATGCTTCTGGAGAAAGGGGAACACGTCTGTTTCTGCAGCTTGGAAAGGTGACCATGGGCCAGGTGGGGAGCAAGTGCCTGGACGGCTGGTGGTGGCCACTTCACCATCTTGTGCAATCCCCAGTACCAGCACCTGCAGCAGGACTGAAGGAGTCGCAGCTCGGCCTGCTCTGTGCCAGTGAAAGGCTGCCCTGCTGCTGGATGGATGGATGAAGGAAGCCTGGAGGCAGCGCTCTGGGGACTAGGATGCACCTTGGAGCCCAGCTTCACTCTGAGGGCTTGGTGGTCTTTAAAGCCATTCTGTTAGAAAAATCGAGACTATGCCTTTTCTGCTTAAACACACACACATAGGACCACATACATATATAGATGTGGTCAGTTGTTGCCCAAATAGATGTTAAAGGACACTGGCATATGAAAGATGAAGAATCTCAAAGACTTTTAAAGCTGTCAGACATAAGTTCACATTATTGGTTAAATCAAAGCCCAGTGACACTTGGCTGTTTTCTCAGGAGTGAAGGGCTTCCTACACTTCAGGGGCGGTCATGAGCACCCCCAAGCGTGACTAATCTGAAATGCATTAGTGTAGCTGCTTTTGGTTGTTAATTGTGGTTTCATAATTTTATTTTTTAGAATCTCATCTTTATAACAAGTAAAACACAAAATACATAAAACTAATGTTCCAAAACTAAGAATTAGCCTTTTCTTTAAAAACAAACATAAAAAAACCGACTAACCAAGTAAAATATCATGATAGTATCTGCATCTCAAAAAGTGGATTTGCCTGAAGCATACCCTTTTTAAGCAGTGTGTGTGTGTGTACAGGAAAGCACATTGAATATTTTCTATGTTTAGTCCAATGACATCAGTCACACTGTTGTTATTCTCATTATGCCAGCAGTTAATGACCGCTGAGGGTCGAATGACCCTTTCACAGGGGTTGCCCAAATTCATAGTAACAACAGTAGCAAAATTACAGTTATGAAGTAGCAACGAAAATAATTTTGTGGTTGGGGTCACCACATGAGGTACTATATTAAAGGGTCGCGGCATTAGGAAGTTTCAGAACCACTGCATTATGCTGTTTCACCACCATTAACTTAAGGCTCTGTCTCTTAAACTTCTTGGTATTTTAAAGTTACTGTTGTCAATTTGATCTTTTGTATATCATTCTTTTAAAAAGTGCAATGTTCAATGCAAACATGAGTTAAATAATTTTAATTTAAAGATAACTTTATGGGAATGGTTTTGGTGCAAAGCTTAAGTTATCTCAGGGCAATAGTTAAGGGATTACTCCAGTCACAACAGGTCCAATAAGTCTAGTTTCTATAAGAATTTCAAATTCTGCCCTACACTTTCCTCCTTTTGATTAAGTTCCCCAGGGGCCACACCACAGGGTCTCAACATAAAGGCCCAACTGAAAGAACTGAGCCCTGCCTCAAAGCTGTCTGTACCCTTAGACTTAGACTGAGGACTGGGATATTCTGATGGGAAAGGAAGTGGAGAGGGGCCACCCCAGGGCTATGGAAGTAGCAGCCACTGGACCTTGGGAACCTCTGGGGTGGTGGGTGTCCAATGTAAAGGGGCCCAGAATCACCATTTATTTGGAAACTCGGTGCTACCCTTGCATTAATATAACATCTTTAGAACTGTTGGGTAGGGATCTTCACTTGTAAGAATTAATCAAGGAAGTTTTCCCCCTGGCACCTATCCATATGCTCAGTGCTCGGTCCATTGGGAGATGGAACTGCGCAGGGCAACAACTCATGGGGTGTGGCTCGGGCTTGCATAGACTAGTCATATCGACAGTGTCTATGTGCCACTGGAAAAAGTGTTGGTGTGATCAATGCAATCGCCTTATACCCCGGGGGATGATTGACAATGGTTTTCCTTTTTGTTTCTTTGGGGCTTTTTTCTGCCTTTCATTTGTTTTTGTTGCTGTTTGGGTCTTGAGGTGTTTCTGTCGTAACACCACAGCCACAGTAAACCAGTCATGCATAACCCATGGACAAGCAGATGGTTTCTGAGCTCTCACTTAACTCTAGCCCCAATCCAAGAACAGTTACTTCTGATCAAATGGCCCTGGTTTGATAGTCACCTTCATAAAAGGATCACTGAAGATAAGGGTGCTGCAGCAAAGTGTAGTGAAGAAAGCAGATGGTACCCGGCTATCGATTGGAATAGTGTTTTGGGTCTCAAAGGCTTGTATTCAGACAAGCAGCCATTTAAGGGAGGAGTCAGCAGTTCACATGGAAGAAACACACCAGTCTGAGTGATCCAAAGATAATACCAAAATCCAAATATGACAAAGGGAAAAAGTATCAGAGCTTAAATTGTGAACACCCAGTTTGTAGAAGGCTATGGAGGGCAGTGGGAGCTGAAAATCCACCTGCAGAGTAAACATAGGCCTCTGGAACAAGGTAAGGGACTCAGCTTTACTGAGATTATAAACTTGATTACAGTGGATCAAACAGTATAATTTGACACTTGGTCAGTTGACCTCCATGTTGACCCAACCTGACTAATCTAGGCTCAAGTATTTCTTGCTCATTCCACAACAAAAATTTCTTCCCTGGCTTTTTCAATATTGATGGTGCTTTTTTCTTTACTTTTTATTTGCAGTTTTATCTTTATAGTATTATTTTATTTTTATTGTTTCTGTTGGGTTTCCCAGTTTGTGAAGCACAGCAGTTAAAACATTAGAGATAATTAACTGGTGCAATGGTTTTTAAAGGATGTGATGGGTGAGGGGATTTGGGGAGCAAATGAATGAGGGAGGAGGGAGACATAGAATTGATTGTGACAATATATATACAACTTATTTTAAAAACTATTTAACCATGGAAGTATATGATATGTGAATCCCATATCAAGAAAACCACTAAAAAGAGAGGAAAGAAACCAAACTTGACCAATAGTTACCATGGGTGAAGGGGAGAGTTGTTGCTTGGGAGACACTGAATCTATGTCAATGGGGGTGGAATAATTTGGAAAAGGACATCAATAATGGTTGTATAACATGAAGGATATAATCAATGGCACGGAATTATACAAGTTATAGAATTGGAGAATGTTTTGTTGTGTATATTTTTGCCATAATTAGAAAAAAAAAACACTAACAATCAGTACAAGAAAATGTTCTAGAATTGAATAGTGACAATTGTATAACTCTTCTTGATACGATTGAATTATTGAATTGTATGACGTGGATGAAATGTTCATGAAACCTTAGAAATTTTTTAAAAATAGCATCTGAGGTCTTAAAGACTTGTCTAAAAACAAGGGCATTGTAGTTGCTATCACCTTTCCAATGTCTGTTCCATGCCTCCTGGCTCAGACAGCAATGGCATGTGTTCAAATGGGGGCTAGAAACAGGTCTTCTCTAGGCCAGCAGGTCGAGTGAAGTGTGGCAGGAGACTGCATATGTACCTGTTAGTTTATTGTGCCAACTTGGCTGATAAAAACATGTGAGGTTAATTGAAGGGCAGAGATAAATTCTTAAGTCTCTTCCTTTCTGATGGTCCAATAGGGTGCAGCTGCTTTAGCCAGTTCCCTGCTTCAGCTGGCAAGGCTCATTTCCTGCAGACATCCCTGAGAAGCCGCATGGATCTATCCCAATGCAGCCCTGGGTGCTGGAGCAGCCGTGTGGAGACCCCTGCCAGCGCTGAGAAGCTTACAGTCACTGATTTGGCTTTCCTCCTGCAGTCGGCATCATTGTATGTTTTGAGATGGAGGACTTTGTGGATTGGTGTTGGACACATGGCTAATGTTGGACTTGTGGGCTTGGGCAGCACTGGGTTGGGATGTTTTCTTGATGTGCACTTACCCTTTATATAAGTCTCTCTTATAAATGAGTTTCTGTGGATTTGTTTCTCTAATGTACCCAGACTAACACAGGGCCTCATCTCCAATTCCCACCCAGAATACAGAGGAGAGCCCTTCCCAAGGAGTCTTATCCGTGTCCAGCTAATCCTACCTTTACAACCTAACTATATGACAGTCAGCAATTGTCTTCTCTAGTTCTTTTGGGCACTAGAGGAGCCCTGGTAGCATAGTGGTCAAATGCTGGGCCGTGATCCTCAAGACCAGCAGTTGGAAACTACCAGCTGCTCCTTGGAAGAAAGATGGGGCTTTGGACTTCCATAAAGAGTAACCATCTCAGACTCCCAGGGGCAGTTCTACCCTGTCCTACAGGGTTGGTCAGTCAGCATCAATTTTATGGCAGTCAGTATGACTTTGAACACTAATCTGTAGACAATGAGGAAATATTTTGAGCAGGAAAGTAACACGATCAAATCTAGTTCCTTTACTTCATCCCACAAAATAAAAAGCCACTTAGAAAGGGGGAACCGATTACAAGGATCTGCATATAACCTCCTCTAGGGGGACGGACAACAGAAAAGTGGGTAAAGGGAGACGTTAGGCAGTGTAAGATATGACAAAATAATAATTTATAAATTATCAAGGGATGGGGGAACAGGAAGGGAGGGGGAGGATGAGGAGCTGATATTAAGGGCTCAAGTAGAAAGCAAATGTTTTGAGAATAATTATGGCAGCAAATGTGCTGGACACAATGGATGTCTGTATGGATTGTGAGAAGTGTTGTATGAGCCCCCAAAAATATGATTTTAAAAAACCAAGCCACAAACTAGTAATTATTTTATTTTTCTGTTAAAATATAAAACAGATTAAATTATCAAAAGTCTAAATTAGACCAAATATAAACCTATCGTATAACCCACTGAATGGATTTATAAGTGTTCATTAAAAGTGTCGTCATCACCCCATTTTCCTTTTTCTTGCTGTATCTATCCTCTAGCCAGCTTCACTATCATCACATGCACTTTGTCCATCGAGCATCACTTCTCAGAATCCATCCCCTTCACTAAGCACGAAGCCCTTTAGAGCTTTCCACTCACAAGTAAGTTTCTTCTCTTGACTACACTACACTTTTCTTATTTTCTGTTAGTACCAGAATGTTCCATAAAGAAACAAGTTACATATTTCTCTAAAAGGAAAGATCATTGGCTATTACACTAACCACTTAAGGAGAGGACATAAAAAACCGCTCATCCTTATGTTTAATAAACTGAGATTTTAACAAAGTACAACTGTAGCCATTTACTCAATGCTTACATAACTCAAAATCTCACAATGTCTCCACACAACTCTCCTTGGCTTTCCAAACACTAACATGTCAACCCCATGTTCCCACTATAAATGGAGACGATCTAAGCATGCTTTCCTTATCTAAAAATATTACAGGAGGGGAAAAGACATTTAAGATCCTTTAGGCTTTGAAAAAAAGGGTCACATTCCCAATGTACACCTAAGTTTCCAGTCTGTGGCATAACTTCAAACTAAGTGCACCTGAGTTCAATTGTTTCATCTTTTCAATTCAGCGGGAGCTTTTCTGCATCAGGGTTCTTTCTCTCAATTTCTTCTTCTGCAAAATTGATTGAAATTAAAAAAAGGGAGGGGGGGGACATAAGTAAGCATTAAAAAGTAAAGTAAATATGATAGATTCTTAGTAGCAAACGTTTTCTTAGGTAAAAGGTTCACACTTATGCAAATACTAAACTGTGATAACTTACCATTACTCTTACTGAACTACTTTTTCTCCCGAACAACACGCGTCTAGAACATCTCTCAATCTGCTAGGGTTCATGACTGTGGCCAACTGAGCGTGATGGACAGTAAATCTGTACCATCAGACAGGACTGTCCTCATATGATATCAGAGCCATTTTTATAAATTCCTACCATGAAGCATTTCAAGCATATACGAACGTGAGAAAGTAATGATCCGCTCATATGTACTCATCATCCAGCTTCAACAGTTCTTACTACCGATCAACCGTATTTTGAGTCCGCTTTCCACCCCCACTCATTGCAAAACAGTTCTGGTATGGTGACAAGACAGAGTTCAACTAGTGCTTCTCCGCCTTTTAAAAACCACCTCTCACCGGCCAGGAAGAGTGTGACAAAGCTTGCTTCAAAGCTTGCTCACAAAGCTTCACATTATAAAAGCAGTAGGTTTCAGATTGACTAGGGTTTTTTTTTTCCACCCCTCCCCATACCATCTAATTGTGAAGATTCTAAAAAGACCCACAAAGCAATGGATCCATGTCACTCAGCCTAGTTGGAAAGACTGGGGAGCATATTCTATCACACTGATTACAAACAAGGATCGTGCTGCCTTCGTGGTATACAAAACAGAGAGAGAACTTCAATTGCTGAATGTACTCAGCTCTAATGGAATCTTACCTTTTAAATTAGGTAGAAGCTCTCCAAGACTACATGGTATCGCAGTCCTGATTCTTGGCTCCTCTGGAGAAAACTTAATTAGAGGTGAAAGAGACCGCTTCCTTTCACCAAGGGCCATGCATACAGATGGTTTTGGAGAGTCCACGTGTGAGTGATGAGTGTCCAAAAACATTTTGTCTGTTTGCTTGTTATTAGGAGCAAGACGCAATTCTGGTTTGTGTCTTTCAAGAGTTCCAGGTATAGAAAGATCAGATTCTTCCTTTTTCTTAGAAAGAGACTTTTTCAGAGCCTCATATCGACTGCAAAGGGCCTGAAAACTGAAGTCTGATCTTGGAGTAGTATATATTTCTCCCACATCTTCTAGACAAAGACCACTGGGCACAGGACTATTTGGCTGCAGCTCAAAATTGAACTCTGTATTATTGGAGCTATTGAGACTTAGGTGACCAACTTCTCCTGGAAGAGTTTCGTGTAATATGCCAAAACCAGTATCCTCAAAACTCTTTGAACTAAATCCACTTGATACCTGAAAAGAGTTCCATAATGCCGTTTTTTGCATGGAAGGTTCTTTATAAGAAGTTTGCAGGTGGTCTGGTGTTTCAGCATGCTCCTCTTTGCTGCCTCGCAGCAGCACACTTAGCCTGCTGTGCAGCGCGGGGGAGAACGCCTCTGTTTGACACGCTTCTGAAAGCTGGGTCTGTAAAGCTATATCTTCCAAATCTTGCTCGCAACTTTTGTTCTTATTTAACAAAGCTGACTGACTCTGTGTTTCAGGGTCACCTGCCTGGCTGGCTGCCATGTGTTTCTCAGACACGTGTTTGAAGCAATCCGAAACAACTTTTTTTTCAGGCAAATGAGATGGGCTAAAATCCGATGCAGCAGTTGTTGAGAGAAAACTGGCCATGCTAAATTCTGTTTGATCGTGCAACACAGGGAAGGATTCTGGCAAAATTTCTCTGTGCTCAATATCCATCTGAACTGGTTCTGACCTTCTGTCATCTTCTATTTCAACAGCTTTTCTCCATGAGCTTCTAATTTCACTTACTAAATAAAGAGAAGAGGGGGAACATGCATACAATTTAGCAGCATTCCTAAACATAAAGCATGCGATTAAATATTTTCTTTCACGTGCTAACAATAAAGCCACTAAGCCATTCAGTAAGTGGGTAGATAAGAAAGCTCCAGATAAAACAGACATATAATACGTTAGAACCCCATCTCTAACTGCGCAAACACGAGCTCATACGGGGAACGAAAGCTGGTCCTGACGTGCACATACTTTCATACAAATGACACGTCTGAAAAAGACATGTCTGGGTCGTCTAGATCAGAGTTTGGCAAACTTTTCCTGTAAAGGACTAGTGATATTCTAGACTTTGCAGAACACCCAGCCTGTCACTCCCATGCCGCTAGGCCACTGTAGCAGAACAGCCATGGCAAACTGGGCCAGGTGAGAATGCAATGCAGTTTTATTTACAAAAACACGTGGGGCAGGCTAGATGTGGTGTGGGGGCACGGTTTGAATCAACTTCACACTGTCAGCAGCAAAATGGATATTATATATAACCACTCAGTCAGGATCTGCCTACAGGAGGAAACTAGGACCAGAACTTTGCCTGCACAAATCATAGGTAATAAGGAAAATATACTGGGCATTCTGACTAGCTTGATAGAGGTGGAAAAGATCTACGCATACCTACTATTTGGCTAATGCTGCTGGCTGGTTTGTAAAGGACAGAAAACAGTCTATAAAGGGTGATGGCAGGTCAGATCTGGAGATGGTGACTGTTTTTTCCCTAGTGAGGAAATAGTCCTTTCCAGTTTATAATCACAAGTAAATCAACATAAAAAATCTACATTATCTACACGCTTATAAAGTATCAAAGCTTATTACACCCCAGTACACTGAGTTTAAGAATCCCAGTAGCAGAGTGAGTGAAGTGTTTGAGCCGCTAACCAAATTGTCTTGGTAATTTGAACCCACCAGTCCACACACAGAAAGACAAAATCTGCTTTCATAAAGATTTACAGTCTCAACTAGGAAAAAAAAATTATAGTGACCTAGCTTGACATGAGGAACTTCATCTGTGGGATACAGACAGATTTTTCCCAGGTAGTCCCCCAATATTAGATGCCAAACCTAAGATGCTGCTTGCTAACACACAGTTAGTGTCTATATACTTAAAAGTTATCTCCCTGAGGGTAATCAGCCATCTAGAGCAGGGGTGTCAAACTGGGGGCCCAGAGGCTACATGCAGCCCCCGAGATAATTTTTTGTGACCCACGATGCTCTGAAATAAAATTAAAATAGAAAAAAATTGTTATGAAGAAAATAGCACTTAGGGGAGATCGAGGCAATGCCATACACACAATTCCCTCATTACATTTTATTTCAGAGCATCATGGGTCACAAAAAAATTACTTTGGGGGCCACCAGTTTGACACCCCTGATCTAGAGCAATCAAACCCTATTGTCTGTCCTACCCTATGTGGGGCCCACTCCCAGCTGATAAGGATAGTGGATTATTCCCCTGAAGGAGAGCCCAAAGACAAGGTCAGGCCAACTCAAGGAGGGTCAGGGTTAGGCTGCCATCTTGACTTTAGAGCCCGCCTATCTTGTCACATGTGCACCCTAGCGCCTCCTCTTCCTATTGTGTGTACACCCCTAGCTCATCCCCCTTCTAATGCATGTATGCCTATAGTACAACCCCTTCCTGTTATGCTGTAATTGGGAGGCTTGCAGATCCCCGAAATGTATATAAGCCATGATTGGAAATATATTCACGCTCTCTGCGAGGCCCTGGCTACTGAAATCATGGCTGTCCCCGGAGGTGAGCAACTGCATGCCTTATTTTGTCTGATGTCTCTTGAATTTTGCCCCTCGTGGGGCTGGTACCCCACCATCCATCTTGTTTCAAACTGCCTTTAACCCCTGCTAGCGGTTGCCCCCTTCTCCTCCTTCCCTCTCCTGGCTCTCCCAACCTTGACTCTTCCAAGATGTCTGCACACCCTGCCTGCCCAGTTAGCAAGAAATGTATACTTCTCAGAAGATCCTGGATTGGCACCTGCAGCTGTACTGTTCCCTCCAACTCCCTTACCCTGCCAACCTGGTAAAAATGAAACTGCTAGAATACCCCCTACCCTTGAGTCATCCCCCCTCTTTTGAACTATAAAAAGTTCGTAATTTCTTTGTTCTGCATCGAGAGGTTTCCAGAAGCTAGCCTACTCTCAGTCCAGCTGTTTAATAAAGACTTCAATTATTAAAATAGTGGTGTGGCTGATCTTGCTCCTTCTAATTACCTGGATAACAATAAATACAAGGAAAAAGAAAATGTTCTAGAGCAGCGGTTCTCAACCGGTAGGACGCGACCCCTTTGGGGGGTCAAACAACCCTTTCACAGGGGTCACTGACTCATAACAGTAGCAAAATGACAGTTGTGAAGTAGCAATGAAAATAATTTTATGGTTAAGGGGTCACCACAATATGAGGAACTGTATTAAAGGGTGGCGGCATTAGGAAGGTTGAGAACCACTGTTCTAGAATATGATGTCAATTGTAAATATCTTCTTGATATGATTGAATTATTGAATTGTAAGATATGGGGATGAAGTATTAATAAAACTGTTAAAGCAAAAATTTCACATTAGGATAACCCAACCTACTGAAAAAAAAGATTTACAGCCTCAGAAACTCGATGAGGCAATTCTACTCTTTCCTAGAAGCAACTCACTAGCAGAGAGCTTGGGCTTGGCTTACACTGAATATGAATGAAGTAATAATACACTGTTCTTGGAGTCCAATGACCCTTACATCAGAGCGAGTGAGGAACCACCAACTGAACTGAAAGGTGCATAAGTATATTTTAAAAGGCGTTTCCAGAAACTTGTCAGAATGAGGTAATATCTAAGAAAGGAAGTAAAAGAGAAAAAGCATTAGGAACTTACTCAGCGTTTCTGGAGTTCGGGGAATTTGCTTCCTTGTTAAGAATGGGTTAGAAACCAGAGAGTCAATTAATTCCTCCAGTTTTACTTCCTTTCCTTCAGAAAGTTTTGGCGAATCAGATAAAACTGCCCTAGCAACCTAAAACAGGGGGAAAGACAAAACAAAAAACAACAAGGATTAACCAGCCCAGCTTCTTATGGCTGTTTTGTCATCAGCTCAGTTCCGACTCAGTGACGCAGGGAAGACCTGCCCCGTGGGGCTCCTCGCTGTCATTCTGTGAAGCAGATCTCCAGGTCCCGCCTTCGCAGCGATGCTGCGCACGTCACACCACTCAACCCCTCAGAGCCGAGCACTTCACCACTGCACCACCAGGGCTCCTTACAAACCCGGCGACAGAACCCAAAGCACTTCATAGCCAGCAGTCCCTCCACAGCAAGCACATACAAAATAAGCTCAATGCAGTAGTTCGGGAATATCTACCAACCATCAAGGGAGAAAATGTTTCCTCCCAAGCTTGATTGGGGAACCATTACAAAGGGGAGAACAGGTGAGAGTCTTTCTACTTGGGAAGCCGTGGAGGGTTCTGACAACACAATGCCCTAAGCTGCTACACACATACCTGCCACATATCTAACCGTGACAGTTCCATGTCCACTAAAATGACTACTTTGGGATTTTTGGTTTAAAAAAAAAAATATCCCCGCAGCAGGGAAAACCAAGAAGGGAAAATAACAGATCGGCAACTGGAGCAAAGCCAAGCCACAAAAGCTCCTAAAGAGCCCCCCAAAATAGACACTTGAGACTCGGAGGGGCAGCTCCCAGAATTCCCCCAGGACCAGCAGGAAGATAGTCATAAAGGTCAGTGGACAGACCTGGAAATATGTATGTTTTCTCTCTCTCTCTTTCCCCCACCTTTTTTCAATCTTTTGTTTTCTTTTTGCTTGGTCTGTGTCATTGTTGGTTTGCCTACTTACATAAGATAGGCATGGGAAACAAGTTTGAAGAGAAAGCAATAGGACTGATGGTCCCAGAAGGACTAGGAGGAAGAAGGTGGCGGGGGAAGGATGCGATGAGCAAATGCCATAGATAGGGGAACTAGGGAATGAAAATCAACAAGGAGGGTGCAGAGATCCTGCGGGTGTTGGAGCAACAGCAATCTAGCTGAGAGGCGGAAGTAGGGGGAACATGATGGGTGGGGCAGGAAGAAGGTAAAAGGAAACAGGAAGGATCTAGAAAGCAAAGCTATGGATAGAGGTATAAGCATAGGTGTGTACATACATACATTAATCCATAAAAACAGAGGTAATGGCCTATGTGCGTATATTTACATGGCAATACACTAAGGTAGTGGATGGACTTCGGGCCTCTGCTCATACCCTCCCTCAATACAAGAACACTTTGTTCGAACACACTTGCATTCTGTGATGCTCACCCTCCTGGCACAATCACTGGAGACAAAACAGGTGCATAAGCAAATGTGGTAAAGAAAGTTGATGGTGCCTAGCTATTAAAAGATACAGCATCTGGGGTCTTAAAGGCTTGAAGTTAAATAAATAGCCATCCAGCAAAGAAGCAACAAGCCCACATGGAAGAAGCGCACCAGCCTGTGCGACCATGAGGTGTTGGGACCAGGTAACAGGCATCAGAGGACCCATAACAAATAAACAAAAACATACTATTGAGAACAAGGGGGGTCGGAGAAGCAGAGACCAAAAGCCCATCTGTAGACAGTGGAACATCCCCCCACAGAGGGGTCACAGGGAAGGGATGAGTCAACCAGGGTGCAGTAAAGCACTGATGAAATACACAATATTCCTCTGGTTCCTTGAGGCTTCCTCACCTCCACTATCATGACCCCAGTGCTGCTTTTCACTTTGGACTAGACCAGAGCATGTACACAGGTATAGAAAAGAGATAAGAGCTCACAGCATGGGAATGGGACTAGCGATACCAGAAGAGGACGGGGAAGGGGGGGAAAGAAGAGGAGGAAGGGGGAACCGATCGCAATGATCGACACATAACCACCACCCCCCACCAAGGGGGAAGAACAACAGAAACCATGGAGGGAGACAGCAGACTGTGTGAGATATGAAAATAATAATACTTTCTAATATAACAGGGGGTCACGGAGTGGGGGAGAGATACCAGGGGCTCAATAGAAAGTAACTGTCTAGGAAAGAAGGATGGCAGCATATGTACAAACATGCCTGATACAACTGATGTGTGGATTGTAATAAGAGTTCTAAGAGCCCCCAATAAAGTATTTTAATAAAAAATCATTTAAAAACACATTGTTTTCAGTGAAAGCTTCAAAAAGTCGAGTTTTAACAAAGCAGATTCTTCACTGTCATCTATCTGTACTGTACCACTTCTATTAACAGTAAGAGGAGAGACTAGCAACTTAGTTCTCTGCCAGAAACCTCTGGCAAAGAGGAACAAAGGCAGAGGAATACATTTTAAATAGGAAAAGGATGTTAACTATAGGAGAGCTGGTGGCACAATGCTTAAAGCGCACAGCTGGTAACTGAATGGTCGTGGTCTGACCCCATTAGCAGCTCCTCCGGAGAAAAGACCTGGTAGTCTGCTCCCAGAAGGCTTACAGCCCACGAAATCCCGTAGGGCAGTTCTACTCTGTCCTATACAGTCCACAAGAATCAAAATCTAGTTGGCATACATGTTAACACAACAGTTAGCAATACAACTGGGAACAAAACACATGTAGACAGAAATCTCTACCCACCCACCCCCACCAAGATCCCTAAAAAACAAGCTTCATATAGCAATTATCAGATTAACCCTGACTTTCCCTTCTAACCTACGACAGGAACAGAGACTACTTAGAATTCAAAAGTGAATATCCTTGTCAAAAGCACCAATAAAGAAAAGTAATTTAACCTTACTGTCAGCTTTATGCGATTTCCTGGCTCTTCTTGCTCATCTCCCATATTCCACTCGGCCATGCCTGTCCTATCATGGTGTGGTGGGGGTGGGGCGGGAGCTGACTGCCTACCTTTAGTGTAGTCAGTGTCAGGCAACCAATAAGAAGAAACCCTAGAAGAACTTGAGGCATTTAAAAATGCGGTCAGAGGCCATGAAACTGGTCTCATCTCTTGCTCTACCCCAAGAAAAATGGCTGGTTTCTTATTTGGACAACTTACTTAGGTTGATCAGGACTGAGCTACGAGAGCCCGGGCACCGAGCTGATGCCTAGAGGACAGGGTCGAACTGTTCCATTGGGTTTCCAAGGCTGTAACTCTTTACAGAACTAGAAAGCCTCATCTTTCCCCACTGAGAGGCTGGTGGTTTTGAACTGCGGACCTTGCACTTAGCAGCCCAACATTAACCAATATGCTACCTGGGCGCTTTGAGATAAGGGAAGGAACACTAATATCTAAATTAATATGTACTCAACCAAATTTTTCTTTCAGTTTTTCAGGAATATAAAGTCACGTATTTTCTGGCTGTTTAGCCCAATTCAAATTATGTTAAAAGATGTTGCAGAAAACACAAAATAAAAAATAACAATCAAGATTGGAGTATGTGACTTGTGTAAACTGAGAACAACACTGAAGAATATAACAACAAAACAAGCCCACTTGTAATCGAGTCGATGCTGACTCACGGTGAGCCCATGTGTGTCCGAGCAGAGCAGAGCTGTGCTCCACAGGGTTTCAAGGCAGATCACCAGGACCTGTGGGTTGGTAGCTGGGCACTTAACCATTTGTACTACCCAGGAACCCCGACGCTGACTAAGGGCAGAAGGATACAGCTGCTTACCAGTGAAAAGTAGATCAGTGATAAGGGACAGAGCTGGTTCAGAAAAAGCAAGCTCACATAACAATTTAATCACTTTTGAAATTTTCAGAAAGTCAAGACAATAATACCTTGCTCAGTGATAAAATGAGTGTATAATCTTATTCTAATAATCAAAATAGAAAGAGTTCAGCTAAAAGCAGACAACACTAACAGTACTGTAACAAAGGATAGCCCCCAGATGTACGTAGTTTGCCAACAACTTATGTGGTTGGTTTAATTCTAAAGATATCACACATGCATTATTTTTTAAACGTTTAGTAAACCTAGGTCTATTTTCCTGAGAAACAATTTTGCTGCAACCATGATTTTGTGCATTTGTGACCTTCTTTCTTCCAAATTTCCCCAGGTATTCATCTATAATCCAAATACCATTGAGAAAATAATAAATATTTAAGCATACTTATTACAGTCTTTTTCCTAACCTCGTCTACCAAATGATCTTGCTCTTTTTGGAATGGATCGCTTCTTCTGGCTGGCAGACACCCCCCAGCCGCACTCCTCCCTGCGTCCTTTGCAGCATCTGTGGACGGGGAGTCTTCCACTGCAGATTCTCGTGTTTTCTTACTGATTGTTCCCTCTGTCATTAATGAAGGCCTCATCTTCATATCCTGAAGACAGATATGTACTGTTAAAGACAATAATCAGGGCTAATCCTGAAGATTCTCTGTTACAGGCTTCTCTTTAACACGAACATATAAAATGTGGTTAATTTTACTGTGAAATTATATGCTCACAAGCCCAAGTAAACAATTTCATTGTCCCAACTTACACACAATGCAAAAGACATAAACAGAAATACTACATAATATGCAAATATTGGGAGATCTGAAAATAAAAACAAAGTTTAATTAAACTGTAATGTAATTTAAACTGGTCAGAATGAAAAGAAAAGTGTACCTTTTCAAGATGCTTAACACTGTTTCTATCTGACAATGAAGCTGGCTGCCACAGAAAGAAGGCGGGGCTACAAGGGAAACAGATGAACAAATCAAAATTCTAAGTAGAGAATTCCACTCACTTGATGCCTCTAAACATTCTACAGAAATTGTCTGCCCCGTATCTGTCCGTGACGATTTAACTCAATTCGTCCCAGTCATCAAAAGGCAGTTTATTTTAGGGAGGTTTGGTGACAATTAGAGCAGCACACTTTGGCTCAATTTGTGTATCATCCTCCCAAATGAGGAAAAATTTACTTACCTGCTATATTAAAAAACAAACAAAACAATTTTATGATTGTATTTTCAAAAAGGTTAAATTACCTGATGATGATTCCAAGACTTGGTTACACAGTGAAACAAATTCTATGATTTGAACTCACATTATAACAATATCCTCAAGGTGAAAATTACAGCATTTCACTGTTCACAAGACTAAGATTGTTTTGATGTTTTATATTCAAAGCTACCCATAAGCTCTACAGCCATATGTACCATTTAGAGTAAAATCTTAGTTACTCAGAGTTCTCGTTTGCTGCATTATACATAGTATTCCTTTATCTTTCACATCTACCCCCACCCCGTGTTCCTTTAGATAAACACAAAAAACTACGTCTCTTAATACTGATTATAATGTAAGTTATTTTATTTTTAAGACCTTTAAAACAATAACTTTAAGGTAACTATCTTGATTTTCAGAAGAGTTTTTCCTTCTAATCATGGGGGAATCTGTTCACGGACCAAACACTTCTTTAACTTAAATGTTCTTGGGTTGTTGGGTCAATTGCAACTCAGAGTCGTCCTTCAGAATAGAGGAGAACTTCCCCAGACGTTCCCAAAGCTGTGGTCTTCACAGAGGCACACTCCCCAGGTTTCTCCAGAGTGGATGGTGGGTTCGAGCCACTAACTTTTTAGTGGTCAGCTGAGTGCTTTAACCACTGTGCCACCAGGGCTTCTTTTTAGACTGGGTGATGTGGAAATTAATTTGGGTTATAACTAAAATTAATATTAAAATTCACTATGAAAATTACAGCTGTCTTACCTCTGGGCTACCTCATTTACAGCTCTCCAAGTATCACTCTCTCTTCTGGAATCATTTTCTTGTTTACATTGCTTAGGTGTATCTAAAGGAGTAAAAAGTTAATTCCTGTTTACTTATGTGTGTACCACAGCGCTATGGGGGACAACACTGGAGACACAGTGCGGGAATTGTGCCCCATTTGACCCCACCACACCAGGACGAAACGCTAAGGGCATGCAATACAACAGCAAGGGGAACAGAGCAATGAAGTCCCCAGCTAATACAAAAACAGACTGTGTGGCCAGGGCGTGGCACCCCATCACACTCCACTGGAAACCACTCGTAGAGATCAATAAACAGACCTTGCACTACTTATCGTATTTTCTTTTTTTGGTCGTAGTTTATATAGTTGTTTTGTTTTCTTTTGTTGCTTTGTTTTGCTGTCTTGGTTTTGTGCAAATTATTGTCTCTCCATGTCTATCTAGATAAGATAGGCGGGATAAACAATCCAAATCCGGAAGAGAAAACAATGGGACCGACAGTTCCAGGGGGACATGAGAGAGGGGGAGGCAGGGGAAAGGACGTGGGTGTTAACAAACCCAGGGACAAGGGAACAAATGATCTAAAATTGATGGTGAGAAGGGTATGGGAGGCCTGGTAGGGTTTGATCAAGGACAATGTAACTGAGAGGAATTACTACTGAAACCCAAATGAAGGCTGAAAACGATAGTGGACAAGAAGAAAGTAAAGGAAATAAAGGAAAGAACTAGGAGGCAAAGGGCATTTATACAGATCTAAATACAGGCATGTACATATGTAAATATACTTATATATGACAATTGGGAAATAGATCTATGTACATATATTTAAAGGTTTAGTATTAAGGTAGTAGAGGGATATTGGGCCTCTACTCAAGCACTCCTTCAACACAAGAACACTTTGTTCTATTAACCTGGCATTCCATGATGCTCACCTTCCTGACAAGATCGCTGAATACAAAGCGGGTACATAAGCAAATGTGAAGAAAGCTAATGGTGCCGTCTATCAAAAGATATAGCATCCGAGGTCTTAAAGGCTTGAAGGTAAACAAGCAGCCATCTAGCTCAGAAGCAACAAAGCCCACATAGAAGAAGCACACCAGCCTGTGTGATCTCGAGGTATCAATAGGATCAGGTATCAGGTATCAAAGACCCAGAACAAAAAATCCTATAATTGTAATTGAGGGGGAGTGCTAAGTGGAGACTCAAAGTCCATCTGTAGGCAACTGGACATCCCCTTATGAAAGGGTCGCGGGGAGGAAACGAGCCAGTCAGGGTGCAGTGTAGCACCAAAGAAACATACAACTTTGCTCTGGTTCTTTAATGCTCCCCCCGCCTCCCACTATCATGATCCCAACTCCACCTTACAAATCAAATCTGGCTAGACCAGAGCATGTACACATGGGTGCAGATAAGAGTTGGAAACACAGGGAATCCAGGACAGATAAACCCCTCAGGACCAATAATGAGTAGAGATAACAGGAGGGGTAAGGGTAAGGTGGGGGGAGAAGGGGGAAACCGATCACAATGATCTACATATAACCACCTCCCAGGGGGATGCACAACAGAAAATTGGGTAAAGGGAGACATCAGTCACTGTAAGACATGAACAAAATAATAATAATAATTTATAAAATATCAAGGGTTCATGAGAGGGGAAAGGGAGGAGGAGTAGGAAAAATGAGAGGCTAATACTAAAGGCTCAAGTAGAAAGAAAATGTTTTGAAAATGATGATGGCAACAAATGTACCAATGTGCTTGACATAATGGATGGAGGTATGGATGGATGTATGGATAAGAGTTGTATGAGCCCCAATAAAATGATTTAAATAAATAAATAAATAGATTTTAAAAATGCTCAGGTCATATGAGCCTGGAGCTTTATTATGCACACTATCTTACAAAAATGTTTATTACAAAATTATGTGTGTACATTTTAATATTTAAGAACAACTTATAAAAAGAAAACAAGCTGAGTAATACAAAGGTAATAGGAAAGGACCACTTTTCTATTGTTACATATAAAGAGATGGTAGGACAGTATTTGACAACATCCAGTAGAAGGCTTTTAGAAAACTGATAGCTCGGTGAAGAAAGCTGATGGTGCCGGCTATCAAAAGATATAGC